AGAATCTAAAAAGCAGCTGTCGCATGATGATCGAAAAAGTGATGATTCAATTAGGCGTGCATTTTAATCGAAAGGGGGGTGGCGGGGGGGCACCAGAGAGGAACTTGCGATGCTGAGGATGCAGGAAGCCAAGGCCAAAAACGGGAAAGCAGAGGATGCAAAAAGCCAAAGCCAGAAAGCCGCCAAAAGCCACAAAGCCAAAAAGCCAGCGGATGCGAAATGAAAAGCCACAAAAGCCACAAAAACCCACGTAAAAGCCACAAAAGCCAAAAAGCCGAAAAGCCACCCACCCTACCCTGAAAAACAAAAATAATTCCTAAAAAAAAAAGAAAAACAAAAATCCTAAAAAAAATGGTCCTCCCAATTGTAATCCTAGGTTCTCTGGGGATTCCCACCAGGGGTTGCATTGCGGGGGTGGTTTGGGATGAGCATCGCAGCAACTTTTCAAGTGCCACGGTTCAAACAAAAATGCTATACCCTTCTATGGTCATGCGTACATTGGGAGGCCCCCCCGGTTTCGTCCCCCCACGTCACTCCCCAATGGAATGTCTTTGCTGTCTTTGCTTGGGCATCTCTCCGTGGGCAATCTACTGGGCTTTGCCTTTGGCCCCCTCCCCTGCTGCAGAAAGAAAACCCACATGGCCGCGAGTCATCACACTGTACCCTGGTGAACATCAAAATGGGTGGTACATGGGTGTTCATCCGGAGGCATAGGATACGACTGACCCATGGCCACATGTGAACGGTGGTTCTCACGCCCACACGTGGCAAACGTCTCGCGGCAAGAATCCGTCCGCCCTCCCGCGCCTGGGCCTCCTGAGCCTCCTCCAAAGCAGCGCTCTGGGCACGCGGGGCCGTAAGGATCCGCCCGGCTCAAGAGAAATTCAAAGACGGGAAGCCTGGCTTTGAACCATCACCTTCATGATAGTCGAGAAAAGAACACCCGAAAACCAGAAATACGGGAGACCTTTTTTTGATGAGTGAGCTCGGTTTACCTCCTTGCGCTCTTGCTGGAATCAAGAAGTCCCCCGATTGGAAGCTCCAATCGAACACTTTCGGAAGCTTTAGTTTCATTTGCAGCGGCCTTCTGGGAGCTTCTGGAATTCTTCTTTCAGAAGGCGAAATGTGAGCCTTCCCCTTCTTGGTCGTTATTTGCGGTGTTTGAGGGGAGCTTCCAGTTTAGACCCTTTTCTTGGTGGGTGGGAAACCAAGCCATCCAACAAAAGCCGAAGACACGCAGCTGAACAAACATCAAACCCATTCCAAATAACTCGAGAAAACAACGAGAATGCAGCCGACGGAAGGGTCTGGGTAGACGCGACTCGTTCGGACTGCCATGCCTCGGCGACGGCGGAGTCAATGGTCCGCAGGCGGTGCTTGTAGTCCGCCATGACCTTTCGGCAGGCGCTAAAATGGCGTCCATTTACAAACCACATGCATCCCTTTACACAAGCACCGTCAACATCCCCAGCATCGTTTTCCACAATCACTAGAAGCTTTGATTTAGACAGGGGTTTCAAGGATTCCTCAGGGTGGGCTTGGGTGTGGCTTGGGTTTCTTTCGGGCGGGCTTTTTTGCTGGGTTTAGGCTGGCTAGAGTTTCGAAAGGGAAGGTTAGTATTGGCTGCGGGCGGCTTTTGGGTTGGAACAGTATTTAGGGGGTTTGTTTAGGGCTTCTGTTTGGTGATTTAGGGGATTTGTTTGGTGTTGGTTTGGGTGGGTTACAAAGAGTGATGCTACTGAGGGTTGCTGGTAATACTGAGGATGTGGAAAGCCAAAGTTACAAGCACCGCCACAAGCCACAAAAACACACAAACGCCAAAAAACACCCACCGAGGCCCACCGAGTCATACTCTGGGATCGTCATATAAAGTAATTTGTGGTGAAGCCAAAAAGCCAGTTTCCCCA